ACCACCACCATAACAACAACCCTAACAACCCTAACAACAACAATAACAACTCTGAGAATCATCATCTCGAGGAGTCTACCACCACTCAGACCACCACCATAACCACCACATTGGATATACCTCTTGACTCTCTCTCCTTTTGGAATTCTATTCTTTCTCCCAGATCATTCATTCCCATAGAACAATTAAAAGATATTTATTTGGATCACCACAATTCAAGTATATACGAAAATGAAGAGATGATGATGGAAGATGAGAATGAAATAGACAACGCAGACATTTACTATCATCATCACCATCAACAACTCTCCAATAATAATATCAATCATAGTACTCAACATCCCAATACGAGTAATAATAGTAACAATAACAATAGTAATAGTAACAATAGTAATAGTAACAATAACACTACTCCTTCTCAGAGTTCCTTCTTGCATTCCTATCATGACATTGATCAACATAATTTTAAACAAATTAATTTCTGGTGGATGAAATATATAGATTCAATATCAAGAGATGAAAAAGAGAGATCATTGATTCGACTTGTTACACTCATTTCAGATTCATTTGATAGTAATTCAGATATTCACCATGTGTTACCTTTTTGGTATGTTGTTTCATATATTGTTTTCATATATTGTTTTCATATATTGTTTTCATATATTGTTTTCATATGATTATTGTTGTTGTTTCATATGATGATTCAATCAATATTTAAATGATGATCATTACAGTCAATTGAATATTTCACAACTTGTTACAGATTTATCATTAGAATTTATTAGACATTTTTGTAATTTATTTAAATCTGAATTCAATGTGACTCCATCTAATTTTATTCATTTCATAAATCGATTGTATACAAAACAAGATGATCAAGATTTTATTAGAAATTTATTACAAGTGATGGAATTTGAAAAGGTTAAGAATTTCTTTTTTAAAGAAACACTTGAATCCTTAGAATATCACAATAGTTTGTGTTGTTTACTTGCCAAGTCTCTATCATTACTTTTTGAAAGTGTAAGTATTGATTTTTATCTATTTATATGATGGTGAATATATGGTGAATATTCATGATACTACCAATGGGTTGTTCATTCACATCATTACTTTTCACATCATCCATATTCATCATCATTGTTTATTTTTCACATCATTCATCATCCTTTTCCACAGTTCACAGATACTACCATTTCAGTCATGAATGGTCTTTCAACTGCAGTGATTGTGTGTATGAGATTGACATGTCTATGGTTTGGTCTCAGTTCAAAAAATCAATCAACAATTATGAATTCTTCTCATCATCTTTCTATTGAAAATACCAATTACACCATTCTCAGCTCTATTCAAGAACGTTTAGCAGAATATATTCAAGTCTATTACACTTATTCTACTTCAAGTGAAAAGTATAAAATTAGAGAAACACTCACAACTCAAGATACTAATCCAAATATTTTATTATCTAATTTATTATTACAAGTATCTAAAAAGAGTGTTCATGTCTATACTGAAGTATTTATTCAAACAAGAATGTGGAGAGTATTATTTAATACAATGAAACACATGTCACGATTATACAATCCATTGAGTGGTGATGATGATCCTCATAGAAATTGCTGTAGTAACAGTGGTGATGTTGGTAATGATGATCATCATAATGATCATAATAGTAACAACAATGATCATCACAAAAATGGTAGGAACAATAGTAGTAGTGATGATCATAATAGTAACAACAATAATGGTTCTGATAATAGAACTCGTAGTTCTGATGATAGAACTCTTCTCATTGAATTATTCATTCAATTCTCTAATTTTGTTTCTCTTTCTGTGGGTCACATGTTTCTTTTAGCATCCAAAGATATTCGACATTTAATGGAATTGAGTTCATACAAAGTATTTATTCAAGTCATGTCTTTTCTCAATGATATGGAAAAAGAAATTCAATTATTTAAGAATCATTCATTTCTTAAAATTACAATACTTTACATGTTTGAAATGTGTGTATGGGCACTTTTTACATCCTTACATTTAGTACCAAATTTATTAATGGAATTTGAACATTGTGATGGTTATGAATTGATGAAGAGAGTATTTCATGAGATTAATTCTTCACAACAAGGAAGAAGAAGTGTTGTTGTTGATGAAAATGATGATCAACAACAAGGAAGAAGTGTTGATGAAAATGACACTAATGATAGGACAATGATTCCTACTATGACTAGTATTATTTCTACTACTACTTCTAATAGTAATACTACTACTAGTGCTACTAATGCTACTACTAGTGCTATTTCTACTACTCCTTCTTCTCTCAACAAAAATAATTCTATTCACAATCATCACATTGAAGACTTTTTATTACAATTTCAACAACAAAAACTATTAACCATTCTTCATGTCATGATTACTCTTGTATTAGATTTAACTCTTCACATTCAACTTGTACAAGATGCTATTCAAGAAGAATTAGGTGAATGTAAAAGAAATCAACACATCTTTGATTTACTTGTTTATTTATATGATCATACAGACATGTCTCAAATAGTAGTTTCAAAAATGATGAATACTCGAAAGGATTTGAATAACAACAACAACATGAATACCACGATCATGTTTGGAAATGAATCGAGAAATAATAATAACGACAACATGTCCAATGAAATTCTTCCTTCATTTATATGTAAAAGAGAATTACTTGATCACATTTTATCCAATTTAACACTATTTCATGAAGAATATTTTAAAACTCTCTACAAGAGTGAACCATTCAAATACATGTGTAAAAATTTCACATCTACAAGCAAGGAAATGCAAATTCAACTTCTCAAAACATTTGATCATTATATTCATATATTTTGTGAATGTCAAAATGATAAGATCAAAACAGATTTAATATGTAGAGATTTTAATGAATATCTTGGAATGTTACAAACAGATCATTTGAAATTCTTTGATTCAATAATGAGAGTTTGTGATCATTTATTGGATAAAATGGAAGATCCAAATAGAATTTCCATCATTCAAGTTTTATTAAGAAATTCTAATTTTACTAAAATTATTTTACAAGCCATTCATTTAAATGTTGAGAATCGAAATACTCAAGTCATGCTCAAATTAGTGAAAATGATTTATTTATTTTTACAAAATAATTTAGAAAATCACAAAGATTTTATGAATTCAATGACTCCAAAAGAAAATGCTCTCTATCAATTACTCTATGATGAAGAATTGATTTTAAATACATTGGATGTCATTTCCATGATTGTGATTCATGATCGATCTCAGACTTGGGATTTTATGATTTGTGATTTATTAGAAATTATGAAGGGTGGAACAATGAGTAATAATTCTATTAATAGTACTACGACGACTACTACTACTACAAATAGTACTAACAATCCTACTATGAATAATGATACTACTAGTAACAATCCTACTATGAATAGTATTCCTATTCAACAATTACCATCACAGCAACATTCTCACCACACGACGAAAACAGGAACAACAGAAATGCATGAAGATGGATCAGCAGGTTCAAAGTGGACAACAAATTCCATTACAACCTCCACCTCCACCTCTAAAAAACATTTGAAAATGTGTGAAAGAATTCTCGTATGCATTCGTAAAATATTTATTGAA